AGACTTGGGACATGCTGATCTGCTTTAATGGCAAAACTTGATGTATGCTTGTATTCCAAGGGAGGCTGTTGAGTGGGACTCTACCTGAGATTGGAAGGATGCTCATCTTGAGCACAAAAGACCAAGATAATAGGCATAGTTTCACTGCTGCAGCTCTCTGGTCTGACAATATCCCAGCCTTTTTAGAAAAAAAGGTTGCAGTTGAGCATCTTGCTGAAGGCTCTGATTTTCCATTGTGGTGTCCAAGTGACAGAGTAAGCTCTGGATTGCTGCTGGTGCTGGGGTTGGTGCCTCCATCGGAGACATTTACTTCTCCATAATTATATTATTTTGATGGCAATTCCTCTGGCTTGGCACTGATTGCACAGCTTTTCCAAGCAGGTGAGTGATCATATGATGCCATAGAACTGTTTATCTTTCCTAAAAATCCCTTTCTTAGAGGGAACTCTGTTTGGCCTTTCTGCCTCTTTTACTCAGTAATAAGGAACAAAACCATCTGAAATTACTGGCTCCCTTGGTGAAGTGGGAGCTGTCTCTCTGTCTAGAGTAGCAGTCACGAGAAACTGCTGAAGGAATCCTTCTCTTGCTGAAACAGTCTGTATTAAGTGTGTCTTCCCAAGGGTGTCCTTCCAGGTTTTCACTGCTATGTGTTGATCTCTTTCTGTTTAGGCCATCACACTCCCTCTGCTGGGGGTCCCTTCTCAGCACTCACTCCCAGCATTTGGCCTCAGGACATCCTGGCAAAATACACACAGGTATAGTGTGGGGCAGGGAGGGGGTGTTCTCTGGCTCTGCAAAAGTAAAGGGACCCGGTGGTTTCTGGTGGTCTCTGAAAGCCACAGGGAAAAGGAGGGAGAGGCACACTTTTCCTCCAGTGCTTTGATGGTGGACACTTGTTTACTGCTTGAACTTCACGTGTTTTGTGGCTGCATTCTGGCTTTTGCAAGAGGATCTTGCGGAGTACAAAGAAACTTGTGTGAATTATTGCTTTGCTGTTTTGCAACTATTGCTCCACTGTAAAAATGTTGACACTGTCAGGGAGTCTCTGTCATCATTGAGCTACTCTGGATGGCTTGTGTATGGCAGGAAATGCTAGCCTCAAGGCATGTTAGGTGGGCAGAGGAGGAAGGAAGGAAACAGCCATGGAATTTCATAACTTAGCCACAGTTTGCTGAAGGCATTTGAGCCCAGTGAGGCAGATTAAAGCTTATTGTGGAGCTATATGTGTGAGAAGCACACTTCTGGGGTGCTGCCTGGGTTCAGTGCTTCCAAGAGTCCCCACAGGAGGAGCAGGCGGGCTTGCAGGAAAAGGGAGGTGTCCGTAGGTTTTCACTCCTAAAAGAAGCCTATTTGTAACCTCCAGTGTGTATCCCCCAAGGCCAACTGTGAGCACAGATCAGGAAGGTTGAGATTTGGGTCATGGGTCTTAATTTCCTTTGGTGCAAGTCCCAGTTTTACCTGGTGTCTTTCAGAAAAAATCTGAGTGCAACAGGCAGGAGATGGCACGGTGCAGGGAGCTGAATTTGCAGTGTGTGCACAGAGGTAACAGGAAGGACTGCTGTGTGCTAGCAGTGCAGATACCATTTTAGCTGGTGTGTGTGTATTCCTCATTTCATGCCTCTCAGCTGGGGAGTAATCTTGATATGAGGCTGAGTACAAGTACTGCTGGAAAAAGGATTGCTAGGAAAATCTGTGTGGGTTTGATGGTAGAGCTTCTCAACTTCATGGAGAAGTCAAAATGCGAATGGTATGCAATATCTGCTCAGCTTGGAATTGTGGTGGGAGGCATTGAAAATTAAAGGGCAAGGGGTCTAGTTGCTCAAACGGCACAATGCAGACAGTGGTGGGATGGGACAATATCCATGTGTCTCTGTTCAGTTATTCAGTGCTAAATTGGTGAAAGTGTCTGCTTTCCTTCCTTGCATCTCCCAGAAAGAAGAATCCGTCGAGCAGCCAGAGTTTCGCTATGATGAATTCGGTTTCCGAGTTGACAAGGAAGGTAAAGCCAATACTATCCCTCCCACTTCCATTGTGTGCAGCCCTTCCTGTGCTTCCAAGTGTGGCAAGATGACTTTGCAACCATTCTGTGCTAGGTCTTGTCTACCCTCCTGTCATCATCGTTCTGTATCCTACCATCGTAATCAAGTGAATTAGACCTGCTGGCCTTATGGGAATCTGGGGCATAGACTATGCAGAAGTCATTTCCATCCCCTTATGCTTGTGCCATGGGTAAAAGAGAGAAAAATTAAGAGAGGTTACCATTTCCATTAGCTGCATGCTGGGAGGGGCAACTTTCCCAGTTCACAGTGTTGTGTTCAGTAGCATTGTAAGCACTCACAGCAGGCACAGTGAAACATTGTCTGTTGAAAAACTCATGGCCAAGATGAGTGGCAACAGTATGCGTTCTGCCCATCCCAGTATCTCAGCAAAATGTAGGACAAATTGTACAGGCAAACCCCACATCCTAAATTTTCTGCAAGATACGGAGGCGACCAAATAGAAGGAGATGGGGAGAGCTATTGCAGCTGAGCACTGAACTGCAACAGCTGGCTTTTGCAAAGAGGAAGAGAAAGGAGATGTAGGAATTGCTTTATGTGCTCTGGAGGATGTTTCCAGCGCTCAGGCTGTACAGTGCAAGGGCAGAAGTTGTTTGCATATGTGCCATAAGTCACCTTAAGTCATAGAGGATCCTCTTTGAAGCCATGACCTGGAGATGAGGATGGGACACAGTGATTTCTTTTTTTTCCAGCCAGAAAATTTCACAGACTTGTGCATTATAAAATCAGCAGAAAGACTTGGACCACATTGTTGGAATGTATTATATGATGAAGGACAAGAGCACTTACGTCAAACCTGTGCTTGTGCTAAAGTGCCATTTTAGAAAGCCAGCCTCAGGTTAAGGGGCTCTCTCATTGTGAATTTGGAGGTGTCCTAGCTAAAGCTTTTTTGATGATTAAATATCGCCAAAGTTAACATTTTGCACCTCATTACTTCCGTGAGCACATAGTTTCTGCTCTTCACCTCTGAGGCTTGCTTTGCTTTTGTCAGCCTGATTTACAGATTCTTATAAAACCCAGCAGGATGGCTGCTGCTGGGATCTTGTTTAATTCCAGCAGCACTGTGCTCTAAATCATGAGTAAGTAGAACCTAGAAGCCTGCCAACAGCTTCTTAGTTCTCAAGGTCCCAGTGCTTTTTGTTTGTAGCCATTAAATTTGCTACATGGAAAAGGCAGTGAGAAACCAAGCTTTGCCTTTCCATGCTCTGACTGGAAGATGTGAATGTTTTTAAGGTGCTTTTTCCAGATGGCCATCCTATTTTCCACCCTGCCTTGTGTTTGTTCCCTCTCCCGTTCTCTGTCTCACTTGTCTCCATTCCTTTCCCTTTCCTTTGCTGAAGCAGATGGTGCTGAGCCAAACTCCAGCAAGCTTCTGGGGGTCCCACTGACGGAGGAGCCGCAGCAGCGGCTCAAGTGGCAGGCTCATCTGGAATTTACACACAACCATGACGTGGGCGACCTCACCTGGGACAAAATTGAGGTCACCCTACCCCATTCAGACAAACTGCGCTCCCTGGTGCTGGCTGGCATCCCACATAGCATGAGGCCTCAGGTGAGAGTGCTGCTTGTTCTGGGTGGGCACTCCTGCCTGGAGTAAGAGTGGAGTGAGAGCTCTTGGTTAGAGGCTGCCAGCTCATGGCTTTCTGTGTTTGTCTGAGTGTCTGCTCCTGTCTCTGTTCACCCTGTCTCCCCAGCTGTGGATGCGCCTTTCAGGGGCTTTGCAGAAGAAGAGGAACTCAGAGATGTCATATCGGGATATAGTGAAAAACAGCTCTAACGATGAAACCATTGCCGCCAAACAGGTGGGACATACTTCCTAATGCTGAATGGGGAGAAGGGCAAGAGTAGCTGTGTGAGAAGGAAGGGGTGTCTGCCTGACACCTGCAGCAGGGACAGTTGAGAGGATGTGTGTTTGAATCCTGCTAAACCTTCATCCCATGAGGCATGTTTCTCCTTTGTTTTGTTGGAGTAGCAGCTATGCAGCTCTGCTCCTTCCTGCGACAGCAGGGAAGGGGTTTGGCCCATGCTACTTGCAGGCTAGAAAGCAATGCTGCAGTTGTATCTCAGTTGTATCTGCAGTTGTATCTCAGCAAACATCCTGATATTCACTGAGGGAAATAAAAGGTGAAAAGCTGACAGATGCACCTCTGTTGAGCTTGTGGCAGCTGATTCCAGGACCTGTCTTTGTTCCCTCAAACACAAAGTCTCTGAACACTAATGAGACTGTTACAAGTCTCCTCAGGGTGTTCTCCTTTGATCTCTCCCTGTTGTGGGAGGGGGGAACGGCGAAAGAAACTGAGATCTGCACATGTTCACCTCTCACCAAGAAGGGTCGAAAAGGTTGGAAGGAGAAACAGCACTGCTCAGAGGAGATCTATTTTAGAGGTTTTTCACCTCTAAGTCCTCTTTCACAGATGTGGCCAGGTGGTTGTTTTTTCTCTGGAATAGGTTTTTTTGGAAGCCTTGCTTGAAATCCAAGCAGATGAAATTCCCAACTAGTGTGCTTAGTATTGTCAGTGGTGAAACTAGGGGCTGAGTTTAGAAAAGTATTTCTTGGGAGTCAGCAAGTCACTGTCTGCACTGGCGTTTTCCCCCGTGTCAGTGAAGGTTGTTAAACTGACTCAGGTACTCGGACAGGGACATCTTCTTTGGTACCTGAGGACTTACAGATGGGTGTGGGGAGGCAGAGTTCCCTGAAGCTGGGGGCCGTGGGGAAGTGCAGGTAGCAGAAGGCAGTTGTTCAGGTGCTGCAAGCTGACTCTGTCCTTGTTTATGGCTGACAGATTGAAAAGGACTTGTTACGCACAATGCCCAGCAATGCCTGCTTCTCCAACATGAACAGTATCGGAGTGCCAAGGCTACGCAGGATACTACGGGGACTTGCCTGGCTCTACCCAGAGATTGGATATTGCCAGGGCACTGGCATGGTAACCTGCTTTCAGAGTGTCTTTGTGATAGGGATCGTTGTGTCTGTGGTCATAACAGCGGCCTCAAAATGATTTGAGGTAGTGCTGCCAGATACTGTGGTCTCCATGTGAGCTGAAGAGAAATCCCTTCCACATGGAATACTTCCCCTAGGGAAGGGAGAGCAGAGTAGCACCACATATCCAAAGATATGGAAGAATTCAGTCCATCTGTTGGGGAGGGTGCAGGCAGTACACTGAGGAGAAATCCCTTCAGTGGAGACTGCAGGAATGGTTCTGCAGAAGGAAGATTTTTGTCACCTAGATACTGGTGCATCTGTCCACGTGAAAAAGTGGGGAAAGAGTTCTACTCCTCTTAAGACATGCAGTTTTTCTTCCTTCAAAATCCTAGGTGGCTGCTTCTCTGCTGCTCTTCTTGGAGGAGGAAGATGCCTTCTGGATGATGTGTGCTATCATCGAGGAATTGGTTCCTGCCTCCTATTTCAGTACCACTCTCATGGGCGTGCAGACAGACCAGCGTGTCCTGCGGCAGCTCATCGTGCAGTACTTGCCTCGCC